GAAAGAATCGACTGAACAAAAATCCTCAGCTTATCAGTTTTTTGTGGCGAGGATCACGTGCTAGGTTGGCCACTGAGGGTGCCATTTCACATTCTAAGATGTTCTGGTATTCCACTTCCGTGGACTCCACTGGAAAACTATGAACAGTCATGTAGTATATCCAGTTTTAAATTCCATTTGTACAATGAAATTTCATTGGTACCATCCAACCAAGTTTTGAAGAAGGCCATGTTATATTTAGTATAAAAGCAAAACTGTGATAACTTTGCAGAGAGGGAACAACAAACACTTCAAACAATCCAACAGCGAATCTTTCAGCAGTAATCACTGCAAGCGAAAAAAAAAAGGATTGTCGAAACAAGATGTTTTATGGAAGGATCATTAGAGTGCCATGAGAGAAAATCGACAAACACAGAGACTGTTGTTTTTTTTTTTTTAACCATCTCGATTAGGATTTTAGTGATAAGACCCTTTTTATAATCATAACCTGTGAAAGAGGTTAATGGTGTACAAAAAAAAAAACAAAGTGTTTTTTATTTGTGGGTGGTTTGACATACGTGGATAGTGTTCAGTTTATACATATCCATACTCAAAACCTACCGTGAGAGGCAGTTTGATGATTTTTGCAGATTAACTGAGAAAGAAGAGTGGCAGTTAGTTGGACGATAGAAAGTACCAAGAAGAGATTCGTGACTCAACTCATTTGTGTAGAGGCAAAGGTGTTCCCTGTCGCTTGGCGGCTCGTTAACATCAAAGACACTGGTAATCCCGTGTTTGAAACATCTAAATTATTTATATTCTTCCGATGGTTCACTGACAGAAGAACAAGTCGTGCAGTTCTCAAAAGAAGATATCATCTGTGCAACTCGTAGTTTTTTTAGCATTTTAATGTTATCTTTATTCCTTTTAGTAATTGAAGTAACTTCTCTAGATTTTTCTACCGTGATTTGCAAGTCTGTTTTTGAATATTGATTTTTTTAAAAATTTTGTTTTCTATCATATTCAAAGTCATTTACAGGCATGTTTCTAATGGTGTTACTATGATTTCGCTGATATGGAATTAATGTCGAATCTTTTTTGACCTTTTGTTAATATTTTTCTCTATTGTGTGGCAAACTTACAAAGTTTGAGGTCTTATCAAGGTATCCATGTACAAAAAAATACTCGTATATAATAGATTTGACTCAGTCATTTTACTAACTTTCAATTAAAGTGGGGATCAACGAGAAAATCAAACACCTTTCAACAAAATGCACGTGAACTCATCCCAGTCATTTGTAAAATGTGTTTTATCTATGGTGTGTATCTTTCTAACTCATCAGGTTGTAATAAAACTGCACAGTAGGCTCGTTAAATTACTAAACATAAATGAATCTGCATGGGAAGCCTCTGTCGTTATTATCGTAAACCTAGCCACTACCCTCACGCAGAAAGGAAACAAGAATAGTTATGCTTTGTTTGTGATAATTTGAAACAGTTTTAGATCATGATCGATCTTTGATGGACATTTAGTCGGAATTCAGGATTTCCTGTATCCGGCAGGATGTTTTACGGCGCAAAGATGGTTTCAGCACTCATAGTTTACGGTTTCGTTGGACAGTTCGGCACTGTGATTTAATTTCTAGAAAATTCGTAAACAAAATTCCTCGTTCATTCCGTCTTAGATTCTCAATGCACTGTAACGTAAGCTTTGAAAGAAGCATTGAATGATTCTTCACTACTGGATGTGCCTTTCACGGCACATTTTCATCATTGGGTTATTTTCCTTTCTTTTAAAAGCAGGTGGACCAAACAAAACAAGGAATATAGAAGAACAGTGAGGAACATAAAAGACACGCGAGGTATGACATTACAAATCACAGAAGTATTTCATTTTCTATTCATGGTTAGTTGACCTCAAGCATTCACTTAGTTGTGGTAGCCCTATTTGAAGGAGTGGTATTGTTCAGTGAATGTCAGACATTCTTAATTCGGCATGATATGTCTCAGCACAAGTATAAATGTTTAAATCGTCTCGGAATTAAGTAGTTCGTTTATTACGTCAGTGAAGAAAAGGTCAAACACAATCCTTACACTGTAACAAAACACTTCAAGAGAAGCAATAGAGAGAGCATTTGATTTCGAGTATCCGACTGAGAAAGTTCTTTAAAAGGTATTTATGAAGTGTGAACCCAATTTTTTTTTTTTCATGTGAATTACGTGTACAACTGCCTCTGTATTACTGCGAAAACTGCCTGCGTGGTTTGTTTAAACAATGTTATTATTTCCCTTCGCCATGCACTCTCTTTTCTACTTGTTAATGAGGTTATTTAGTTTCCTTCCCTTTTAAGAAGGACCATCAACTTTTAGCTAAAGCTATGCAGATTAAAAGTATAATGGATAGATATCTAATCATTTTGTTTTCGTAAGCGTAAGAATCAATCATTTTGATTTTTTTTTTTCATATCCGAAATTTATACTTCTCTGCTTTAAAAAATGCGTTTAATCAAATATGTTTCCTCATTCAGCCTTTCCTAATTATCCGCGTGTCTTTAAAAGTAAACGAGAATACGTTTTCATTTGGCAGTTGCATGTCATAGATCGAGATTGACGAAAGCCAGGTTCTTCTGCTATAATTTTGGTGAGCTATACATTCAGGAAGTTATGATGCCATGATGTTTTTGTGATCTTAATTTATTTTCAACTTTCCTCGCCTTTCATATGAAGTATACCAACATCTCTTGAAAAGAAAGATGTACAGAAAAATACAGGGCAAATTTTTGAGGACATTTAATCGTTGTGTAACGGCCTGGATTAAAACAACGTGTCTATCAGTTTCTTTTTTCTTTTTTTTTTTTTTTTGGGAGGGGAGGGAGGGGCTGACTAACAAGGACTGTTTTTTTTTCTCGTCAGAAAATTTTCTTGAAATGTCTTAGTACTGTAATATTCTAAACAGAGGTCGGCGCACTCGACAAGTTGGTATGAAACCACAGTTATGTTTGGCGAAGACAAATATTTCTCTTTGTTCCGTTAGTTTGTGTGTCAAACCGCAGTTATTTTGCGCTGTAAAGAAATACGCTTTCATCTCAGCAAGCCATTAAATTATTCATAATTCGGCGTTTGTCGAGTGGGCTTTTTCTTTTGTCCTCACTCACCTTAAAAACTCGTGTTATGCTCGCGTTTTTTTCCTGGCGGATATGAGTAACACACGCGAGCCCATCCTGTCCTCTCAGCGTTTCATCTGCTTAAGTACTTAACGCATTCTCTCAAACAACCGCAAAAGAAAAATGTGTCACTTAAGTAGCAGCTCTAGGTATTGGAAATAGTACAGAATTGTTGTAAACAGCTGGCGTAGGCGAGAAAACGGAAAATTCACAATCAATTCTTTTGAGTTAGTGTGGTTTGCCATTGCGTCATTTCAAACAACAAGAACGGATGTTCCTCTCCTTTCTGCAATCTTCCGCCTTCCTCCAACAGTTTTTATTGCATGTCTCTGAATTCCCGTGACTAGACTGTTAGGAAAATGGTATAAACGTGATGTTTCCCCTCAAGTTTTACGCATTTCCAACCACATCCAACCGCTTACAAACAGGTCTATCCTCCGAACTCAAATCCCACCATCTCACTCTCTCTTCTTACGATAGGCTTTCGGAATTGCTTTTGTTGGTACAACGCAGCATGCTTGTTCCGTATTAACCAAGTATATTAATAAGCTTATCAGCTAGTTTTCTGACTAACCGACGTCACAGTTGGAAGATTTCAAGATGGAGCCTTCACAAAGAACTCACATTTTTCCTGCACTCGGAGCAAATGTTCGGTATTGCTTAACATCTTCTTATACTTTTAGCTCAGTGTTTCTTAACTCTAAATATGAGTTCTTTAACTAATGACGTGATAAATTATCGTTATTGAGGCATAAGTATGTTTAAACTTAGAATTTCCTCTCTGCCAACATGTGGCATCGTTCTCAGATCGTAGTGATGCCTAACAAGTACCCAGGAAGCATAGTGTTGATTTCTCCCGTCAGAGCTTGAATTTTCTTCGCTTCTTCCCCCAAGATTTCTGGTTATTCGATTTTCTACACTTCTCTTTATTTGGCAATCTATATCTTCGGCAGGTCAAAAATTTGATCTATTTGCCTTTTGCCTACACCTAAATATAGTTCACCGATATTGTGACGCACAAAGGTATCTCTTAACAACGACTTCGTCTCTCCATACTGTCACGAATGTCTTGAAAATGTATAAGTTCCAAGGGGTAGATTCGCACCACTTTTATTGAAGGACCTGTACAGACGTATTAACAAAGTTTAAGAGTTCATGGGACAATGGAAACAACGTCTTGGGTATGCCAAGTTTTCGAGAGGTATTTTATGGACATAAGAAAAAAAATCATGTTTACGCTTGTGGCAAATGGCAAAAGTTGAGCTTTTGTTGTCTGTTTTTCAGCCAAGGAAGGATAAATTTGAAAATATTTTCTTTTGTTGTGAAAAGGAAATGGTTTTTACTTTTTTGTTAGATTTATTCAATGCGATCGGAGCCGGAAAAGTACGCAAGAGTATAGGCATCTTTTTCCTGTTAAGTTTTCTTTCGTGGTACAGTCTTAACCAGTCTGTTGAGATTCAATTCTCACCCTGCTACTGTGTTCGTTATGTATCCTTTTATCCAGTCCATCGTTTCCAGCAACAATTTTACGCGAAATGTAAAAAAGCATGTAAAATCAGTGTTTATGTTCCGTGACATTTTGTCTTAAATTCGAGGGCGGTGGCTTGGATGTTCATAGTCTTTTTATGATCCTTTATTTACTCTAGTGACTGATCTTCCTCGTAAAAAACGTTCTTTGTTTGTCGAATATTTCACGTTCCATGCTCCTCTTATGATGAAATTTAGACTACTTAAGATGCTTTTTGCGCAGAAGAAAGTGCAGTCAAATTACTTAATGTTGAAAGATAAAAAAAGGGAATCTCCTTTATCTGTGGAAATTTTCTCGTTGTTCTTCACTAATTTGCAAGTTAAGACGATGCTTGTGAGCCTATATTTTACAGCTCATGTTAAAAACGTAAACAATTGAGTTTTTCAGTAAAAAATTAGCAATCTTTTGCGCGTTCGTGATAAAATGGGCTGCCTTTTGACACCTGTAGACTATTGAGTCCAAGAAACAACAGTGCGCTCTTAATTATGATAGCAGATTTGCCGAATATTACCGTAATAATCCCATTTATGTTACTTAACATTAACCTTAAGGCAAAGGGGTATTTTTTCAAAGGATCATTCAGCTTGTGATCTGTTAAAACGCGTCATTCAACAACCATCCTCGAAAATTGTAGTCATCGCCTTAACAAGTCTTGGTAAACTGACCCATTCTCTGTTCTTAATTCTCTTCTGTTTTCTTTGGTTCAAGGTTGCCTGAAAAGTGCGCTACAGTAAAGACGATGAATATTTTCTTTGTTGTGTTTGCGTTCTTGGCTTGGACTGAAGCCGCACCAAGTCCTCCAAAAGTAAGTTTTGTTTTTCCTGTTCTGCTTTCCGTCCAGCTCATTGTATTTGCTCTCTACTTCCTCAAGGGCTGAGTTGGGTAATGCGTGTCTTATTTAAACAGCAAGCACCTTATGTACAAAAAAATGACTCTGAAGCGTATCGTATATTCCTAGAAAAACTGAAGTTTTAGTTATTACTTTGGCAGAAAACCTGTGGGGGACCATACTTGAAATATTGAGCAATCGTAATCTTCCTTTTTAGTTCTGCATCACTGAATTATCGAAAGAAAGCCTTATCCCCACGTTTTTTTTTCCATTATTTTTCTTTGGTATTTCTGTTTGTTTGTTTCTACCAAGCGTTTTTCGTCACATGAGAGAGTTCTGTTATGTAACTCATGTCTTCGTTCTTGTACATTCCGATGACGTTTTCATTACACAATTTTACCATTTCCATCTCTTTCTGGCGTGTGCAAGTTTTTGTTGACACGTGTATGACCTATATGTTATAATGCTAGGCTCTTGAAAGGATTAAGGATTCCTTCTCCATGACATAATGATGAAAGCTCTTATCCGTCTCTAATTAATCACGCAGCATGCAGTGAATTGGACAAGATTTTTTGACGCGAGGGGCGGGAGGGGGGGGGGGGAAGAAGGATGGGGGCTACTTTAGCGACCCACTGGAGTTTAAGAGCATACTGAGATTTAGACATACCAGGGGAGGGGGTAAGATACATCATTAGACCTTCCCCTTTCCTTGGCTACTTCGTTGTTTCATCAGCCCAGCGGTTGAGGGAAGGATAGTAACGCCTTTTCATCTTAACGTTTTCCAGACTATGTGCTCGTAAGTGTAGCAGTCTTCAAGTTCTCGCTCCTTTTTTATGAGGAATTTTTTGGCAGCATTTCTCGTTGCGTCCAAGTGATGAAAACGTATTATCGTCCTTTAAAGATTCCTCGGGTTCAGGGGTTTTGAATTATTTTAACATATTACTCGGGTTTCCACGTCTAAGCCTTCCAAATGTTGAAATATTCGTGCACACAGCTTGGGACTTTTGAGTTGACGACATATCACATCACACGGATCTGTGCTCGTCAACTTAACTTTTATTATTAAGCCGTATTTCAGTCGGCGTAAAATACAAAATTGCCCTCCTCTGAGGGTCATGAGTTCAAACGTTACGGGGGATTTTAGAGATACCAATGTGTGCTGTTTGTGATCGATGTTCTTTCCCGTTTGTTTTTCAGTGTGGCAAAATTCGCGGTCGCAATTGTAGTGAAGACAGCGATTGCGCATGTCTTAACCGTCACAACAAAAGTTCCTTGATATGTAATACCCGATTTCGATGCGAGAAGCAAGAATTTAGGGACACACTCCAGAGGATGCAGCCAGTAAGTTGCATTGGTTAACTGTTTAACGATAACTTTACAACACTGAAAGATCTTTCTGATACCGTGAAAGGAATCTGCGGTGATAGAACAGAGTCTGAATTCATAGAAATATTATGTAATTTCCAAAGATAATGATGAACAGCTTATTCTCGACTTTCCCATTCTCCAGCTGTCATCTCATTCTAAGGTTATGTTATAAATAAACCGCCCTCAGTTTGAGAACAACTTCCGACGATCTTTCTAGAATTATTTTGAGGAGGTCCTTGGGGATTGGGTTGACTTTGAGAGGGCATTAGAGTACTTTAGTTGACAGGAAATTTCTTAAAATAAACGACTTCCTTGGTGATTTGTTGTATACTAAACAGAACCAATTATTTTTCAGTGCCACCGTATCTACAAGAATTTTTGTGAAGTTGACACCGATTGTCCATGCGACGAAGCACGACTTATCTGTGAGGATCACGAATGCGTGAAAAAGAAAAGAAAACCAAGGCCACAGATAAACTTAGATCGTCTCCTCTCTATGTTGTTGCCAAGAACAAGTAACGGTACGCAAAGCTCTCCGCGTCGTAAGAGAAGACGTTTACCGAGACACGGACTCTTCAAGACGATTTAGCAGCTTTGTTATTCCATGCGATGTTCGGCACAACCCTTGGTATGGCGTAGGGTGATCATCCCCTCCCTGCTTTAGAGCGCATTTCGATTGAAATGTGTCGTCAGACCGAAAACAGAGGAACCACTAAGGCCAGTCTCAGAAAAAAGGAAAATACTGCGCCACAAGGAGCCCATGTGAACTCATGTGCCAGGAGTGTTGGATATCACGTGTCATCACATGACTAATGGTGTTACGTAGCGTCTGATTGGTGGAGAAAGTGATACGATATTTCTTGACCAATCACAGAAGGAAGCAAAGTTAACTCAAGAAATCCCTGATTTCGTTAGACACTCGATTTATAATCGCGCTTCTGTACAGCTATTTATGTGTAAAGTTAAGTTGGTTTTTTTCGTATATATATGGAAGAAAATTATTACGTTGCTCTTTAACCCTTTAACTCCCAAGATTGTTAATTTCTCCTCTTGGCTGCTACACAGTTCCTTGTAATTAATTTACAGGAATTTGGTGTCAGATAAAGATAAAAACTTAAACCTGATAAGTTTGAAGCTTCTCATTACTTGTTTGCTGGATAATGTATGGATATTATAGGGAGAAATTATATGTTAATCACTTCTGAGAGTTAAAGGGTAACACTACTTTCCTCTGGCTTCTATTTCGGAGGAAAGAAATTTAAGGTAAATAGAAGAAAATAATATGAAAAGAACTTTTATAGTGCCTTTTTAATGAAAAAAAAAAGTACTGCTCACTCAAGTGTGTATATTTTGTAACACTCTCTAGATGTAAATAATTAAATAAGTTTACATAAGCACGGCACTGTGGCGAGTGGCGAGTGGCGAGAAGAGAATCTGGTTGAACATTTCTTTTGCCCATAAGCTGCTCTTTTGAACAGATTTTATTTAGCTTGAAAAGTAGGTGATGGGAACACACTTAAAATAAAACGAGATTTCAAGACCGCGAAAGCTGAACCTTGAGCGCACAATCCGCTTAACTCAGTCGCAAGATGACAGACAACCCACACGACTTAAATAAATTCACTGAATTCGATAAGTTGACTGTTTGATTTATTGATTAGAGACGGGAGACATGGATTAAGGAAGGCTTTTACTAAAGTGGGTATGCCCTGCGTTAATAGCGTTTTTTTTTTTGTTTTTTTTTTTTTACTGGCCTTTCGGTTTTTATTTCGATGAATTGAAACTTCTCTTTACAAAGAGGGCAGACATAGGCAGGCTAGCCCCTTGAAATACTTTCACTGTTGATCAAAGACTGATTTGTCATCAAGTTGGATGAGTCCCTTGGGTCAAGGTAAGGGTCAAAAACTCTTATGAACTAAAAAAGGTATAGCCTCAATTGTTTATGCTTGTCAGATGAAAGATGTTCTCCTGTTCCAATCTTTCACATGACTGTGAGAACGAAATTTAAAAGAATTGATAATGTGACGAACTCACCCCACCCCTCCCCCCGTTCCATCCTCCTCCAAAACGAGGCCAACATTCAGACGCACAAACATTCAAACACGCCATATTGGCTTCGTCGAACTAGCGGGGGAGGAGTAGTTTGTTTTGTCCGTTGAAACGTATGCTGAAAAGTTACTGATCCGTTAATATTTCTAGTAGAGTCTCTGGCTGGCTGTTACATTCTTTGTACAGCCTTGGCTCATGATTAATTTTGCCAGTCACTTGAACTTAAGCTTCTGGCTAAAAAGATTTTCATAAGTAGCCTTCCTGACATTGGCGTACCTGAAATTGTTTCACTTACTTAAGCTTACTTATTACGGGTGCGTGAGGACAAAACCCCTTGACAAAGAGGATTTGTTTGTGTCCAAGAGTACTCAACTTCACACTTATGTTTGGTGAACACCAGCGATTACCAGTGAGACTGGTCATATTTCTCTCCATTCTTCACGCCAAAAAAGGCTACAGAACGCGTGGAATACTTGTTAAAAACTCCTAAATGCCACGGAATGACGGGCTAATAATACTATTCGATGGCAGAATAGTATGCTTTTCGGACAATAACAATATGTGATACAACTTAAAGGAAGTAATGTTCGCTATTGAAGATTTTCTTATCTCGATAAATGGAATGATAGGGTTAGAAACATTTACATTGTTGAAAGTCGAAAATTCCAGATTTTTTTATTGAAAAAAATCATTGAATTGGCTAGGCCGCAGACTCGCCGCACTTTTTTTTCCAAATATATTGTTGTAAGTGAGGTGGCCTTTCCTATAAACCCGGTGGTTTCTGACAGTCTCCACGACTTTTAGTTATGATACTGCCAATTTATTTATCATTATTGCTGAAAAGAGGCAAATGAATGAAAATGATGACACTTGTAGTGAACCAAAATCAAAAGTGCGCCCGCCATTCAGGGCTCTATCGGTACGTGATGCGGACCTATTCTTTTTTTCAGGGCTTCTGTGATACTGTTTGTGTGTCTTACATACCGTAATTTCTTCAAAAATTCGTGAACCATGGAACCGGCAGTGGACAAGCTGGAAGCTTTGGTAAATTTAATCACCTTTTTGAGCCTCTGTTAGATTCGTTGGTACCTTTATTCAAAAATTCGAGGGAATTTTACCGTAATTTTGCTCACTATTAGCTTCATGGTAGATGAAGTGCATTCTATGAACTTAGTTTTTTTGGCAAATTTTGGCGCCAAATACGAAAATCTAGAACGGGGAAAACAGATTCTAAACCTGTCGGCAGTTGAAAGACCCTTGAAAAAGTGTGGTTTATGTGTTGTTCCAGTCAATAAAAAAATCAGTTATCGAGACAAGCGTCCAAATGGACAGTTTCAGTCCAGTTTTTCATATAATCATGATGAATATACGGGTTTTTTTAAAGACAGACCTCACTGGTGCGATAATATCATCATTTGGAGGCCATCTTGGTTGGTAAAAACCGTAGAGTCGTAGCCGAGTATTTTGGGAAGACCATAAGTGAAGAAATAATTGCAATACGTAAATTTGAGCTGTAAGCCAAAAGATGTTTTTTTATTCATGATTGGTGTTGGGTAGCCGATCGGTACATATAAACGTGAACAGTTATCTACTTATACGAGGGGATTAGTGCATATTAACAGGGTTGGAGTACTTTCTGCATTTGAATTTTTGCATTTATTGTGCAAAAAAATAAAAACCAAAAAAAAAAATTCTGGGTGAGGTCAAAGTGAAAGTGCTCATCCAACCCATACCATAAAATTACACTTGTCAAATTTCTTCTTTTGTAACCAGTTTTCAGAAGGCGGAGTCAGACGTCAACTACATCTCCCTCCGACTGGAAACTGAATTTTCACAACAATTTTCAGACAACGGCCAAGAGCAGGTTCATTTATAAATTCATTATGTAATTATTTGCATATATTTTTCTTATTAATGTCACCTCATTTTTTTTTTAAAATCCTTTTGCTAGTTTGGGTAAGACTGATGGTATTGTTGATGATTCATTGCCTGTGTATGCAGTAGCTGCAAGTTTCCTCCCTTTGCAAGTCCCCCGCCACCTTTTATGAGTAAGCTGCCTATTGAAAAACTTGGCCCTAAGATCTTTCAACTTGTCTCATGACAGCAGAATGTATTCCATTGAAACCATAACATATTTTGTTCAAAATAAAATTTTAGAGCAAAACCTCAACAAAGTTTGATCAATATGCAAATGACAACAGTTACTGATGTTAACACAGAGATCATTGATATATCAGTTATGTTAAACAGTTGCATAATACTGCCATGTTTTTGCTTCTGAACATTCAGCTCAACCCCATAAAGCTCCTACAAAGAATAAACCAAGCCAAAGTACAATTTAAAAATCTTGCAGAACAAGCAAGAGAGATTCATTCTCGACAACAGGTGAGTGAAACCAGAACCAAGTATAAAATCTTATTTGTAGGCATGTTTGCTGGTACATTCCTTTTGTATGGTATGATTATTTACAGTAAATCCAAGAAATCATGCAAACCTTCACAGAATTTATCCTTTATTGGCATTGCCTCTTTGTTAGCAGTTTTTGGAGAATAAAGAAAATCTTTGAATGAGTGCTCTTCTCAATTTTAGTGTTTTACTTTGCAAAACAACAGGAAATACAAGCTTGTGTAAGGGACCAAATGTTAGCATGTCAGGATCTTCTGCGTCATTCACAAAAATGTGCAGGCCTTGAGGTAGGTTCATAAACATGTTCCTCATTTTTTGGGTAATTTAGTATTATCAACTGAGTTGATAACATAAATTGGACACTACAAAGAGTTTCAAAGCTGACAAAGGGCCAATGCTCCAAACATCAGCTTTGAAACTTTACAGTGGCCAATTTACATTATCAACTCAGTTGATAGTACCAAATTACCCTGTCATCCTCTCCCACTACTGCAGCACCACAGTTTTTTAAAAACTTACCCCCTTTCCCACATATGGATGCTACTGATAGTAAAGTTGGCAATTGAGCCCAGCAACTCATCCAGCTAGAACTTATCCATGTTTGCATAGTAAAAAGGGATTAGATGTAATAACCCTTCACACCCCAAAATCAGTATGCATATTCTCTTTCCTGTTTTCTATACATTTGCTATATTGCTTACAAGGAGAATTTGTGTAACAATCAAGGTTTTTTAGTTCACAGCAATTTCCTTTATTCTCATCTTCTTGATGTTTAACTCAGCTGTGATATTGGTGGGAAAAGTTAGATGCTTATTTCTCAAAGGGGTAAAGAATGAACACTTATCCTCTAGAGATGCCAGGTTATCATATATTGTGATTTGGATAGTTTCCACTTCATTTTGTTTCTCGTAGCAACAAAAATAACCTTGGATATTTGCTAGGAGAACAGATATTTTTATCCTGGATTGTTTCTCAAAATGAACTGCAAATCATTGTTTTAGAATTGACCTTTTGCTTCCATATTCAAAGATTTCATTAATTATCTGAGCAAAAGTATCAACAATTTAAAATTTAGGATACGTTGGTAAGACATCCAGCTATTTCAATTACAAACTGATTCCCCATCAAATTGGATGCACAAGCACTATACATCATCCAGTTGTTTGAAGGTTGTATACTCTGGTAATGCTATGCAATGGACAAATTGCTGTATGGTGACAAGTATTGACAAATGTACTACACTATCCACTGGAAAAAGATTTATTGAGCAGAAAATGATTTTAATTGTTTGAAAAACAGGGGGAAAAGTCTGTGTAGTGGAAAAAATTATTTATTTGGAGTATAATTATTTTTGCAATGGATTGACTTTTTTGCCAATACTTGCAAAATACATTTAATGCGCATGCATCCTTCCCCTTTAGTGAGTTTTGAATCTCATTTACCTGAATATTTATTCTTAATAATGTTACAGTGTTGTGTGGTGTGCTTTTTGCAAAAAAATGTGTCTGTTTACTCAAAAGGTCATGGAAAAAAGTGATGATGAGCAGTATCTACAAACATCAGTACCTTCTGTAATCAGAAAAGGTTTGTCAGGACTTAATGACCAGGAATTACTTCATGTGGCAATGCAGAAAAAAAAGGCAAAGCATTTGATTGTGACTTTGCTATGGTTGTAGTATTGTGAACTACAGTACCATCTGTTTTACTTTTCATGAACTGATAAATATGGTCAAGATGTAGAGTGTAAAACTGTCTAGGCACAACAAGTAAGTGGGAGGTTTGATTTCATTTGCCAAGGGTGAAATTTCTGTAATTGTATGTGTTAGGGAAATATAGAGAAATGCACTTTGGTTCAAGTGGGCCTGAAGTTTAAGTTGGCAGGGTTTCAAGTTATTGGGAGTGTACTGCATGTACCTTTTTGATACCAATTTTTTCAGTAGTGGAGAAATAATTCACACAACTGATTGTCTGTTAATTTACCTTATAAAGAGACTGCTAGTTCTGAGCTGAGTACTGATGAAGAAGACAAAGAAAATAAAACTGAAGGCACAGAGAACAAAAACCCAGCAAGGTGACATATCTACAACTGTATTTCTAAGCAAGTAATGCAAGGTTTATAGTGTATGATGTTCCAATGTGCTGTGTGGGTTTGCATAATTTTCTGAGAAAAATTATCT